AAGTAAATGAAACACACAACACACAGGGGAAGTGATTTCAAAATAAAACGGGAAATAAACCCAAAGTCCAAACCAAGAGTCCTAACTATAAAGTATTGTAATATTAAGGCAGTGGCTAGGTCCTTTATAATTTTCTGAGTGCCCATTGGCTAGTGTCACACAGAAGAAATCACATCCACCACTTCTGCACAGTGACAGTCAGATGGCGTGACATCAAGAAAATGTCATGGTCCAACGACCACAGAGGGTTAACCTCTTCCTATGTCTAAAGCTGAGGTGTTTGCATCCACAGTATCATTCTTTTGGTAACTACCCAAAACATGGACTCCTTAGGGCAGCAGCTCACTTCCACGGAGCAGTCTGCCATTTTCTAACCGGACTGGCTCTGCCTTGAGATCTTTTTCATAAAAATCATAGTCAGTGACGAGAGATACTTGGCAGAGCCCATTACCCACTAAAAGAGGATATGGACACAGCTCCATCTCGAAGTATACACAGCTTGAACTGATTGTTTTTGCACTTTTCTTCCCTTTTCAAACACTGTGTGAGAACACAAACAAGCAGGCTGCTAAAAAGATCGCATAGAGAAATAAACACAAATGGACAGACTTTGATGCAGGGGAATTTTATAAGTACATAGGACTGCTTATGTACATGGCCATAGTAAAACTTGACAGCATTGCAGATTAATGGAGGTAGAATCACTTCCTTTCTTTGCCACAGACTGTGTCACAGGACAGGTACAGAACAATGTCCTGTAACATTAATCTCAGCAATCCTGATGAGGATCTAGAAAATGACTGAATGAAGGGCACAATCTAAACCACCACAAACTCTTCAGAGTAAAGCCTCTCATGGACACCATCAAGAATGCAAGCTGGTTATTTTATCATCCCTACAGAGACCTGGCCATGAATGAGAGAATGGCTGCCTCCAAGGCTCAAGCGGGGATGATCCAGTACATGAAGGCAAAATCCATAAAATGGGGATTCAAGCTGTATGTGTTGGCTGATTCAAGGAATGGCTACACAGTAGACTTATCAGTTTACACAGGAAAAAGTGACATCTCGTCTCGACATGGCCTGTCCTATGATGTTGTTGTTACCATATCTACATAGACAATTTTTATTTTAGCCCAGAGTGCTTCATGGCTCTCCATTACCACAGATTTGCTGCCTGTGGAACCTACAGGGAAAACAACAAGGACTGCCCTCCTACAGATGTGAATGCCCACACCAAAAGGTCTGGCAGAGGCTCCATAAGATGGATCTGGGATGGTCATAGGGATGCCACTCATTTTTTTTAATATGCATAGCGGCCACCAAATGTCTGATGTCTGGCACAATGGACGACGGTGTCAGTCGAACATCTGGCTCAATATTCAGTTGAATGTTGCCCATTCAGTTGCTCAGGCACCTGCGGGTCATCTTTCTGTGGCTATTGCTGGTGTCATTGTAGCAGGCCCAAGCACGAGACCCACCACAGGTCGCAGGAAGTATGAACCCTGAAAAAGAAAAGGCCAGCCTTTTGCCTGCAGCTGGACAGAAACTGTTTTGGCTGAATGGAGATTCGAAATCATGAAAACATGTACATTATATAAATATTGTAAATAGTGTTTCTTCTGTTTTTTTTCGTTTATAGGAAGAAAAAAACTCTTTTACATTATAGTTTCCTTTTGAAATTTTAATGAGATACAATAGGAAGGTCTACCCATCAGTGACGTCATGCTTTTCTTCAGATGTTTCCTTCTCATATTGTTTCATCAGTTCATGTTTTATAGGATGAGCACATCTACTACATTTTTGGAATCTTTTTGTATAGTAAATATTTTGTTAAAAAAAAACTGTAATTATGCAAATTTTTCAGTTAAACACATCCCATTATTCAGTCCCATTCATCTCAGTCGATCTGACATTTGATGAAAGCAGAGTGACAGACAACACTTTTGCTCAAAAAATTATATTATACAGTGGCCCTGAGAGCTCAACGAACTGCAACTTAAGAAAAAAAACACATGCCAAGCCAGTGCGTGGAGCTCTCAGGGCCACAGTAATATTACATCATTTGGCTTTAGACATATTTTATACATCTACATTTATACATCTTTTTTTGTTCATATATTCCACTTCTTTTGTGAATCAGAGACTTGGTAAACCCATTTCAAGCACCGAAACAATTCATCCACATGAGTAAAGTTAGAAAATTTTCAACGTTTGGGCCAAATTATATCTTTACACAGTGAAAAAACAGAGCCCTCAGTTTACATAAAGCACTTACAACACTTGGGTATTATACATATAGGCAGGTACCTACAAAAAGTGAATTTATGAAATGATGTAAAAATCAAGAAAATAGCCTTAGACCTCAGAGGGTTGACATGAGCCAGTGAGGTGGTGATGACAACACTGTGGTGAGCAGAGTTTCATGTGTTATTTTTGGATGCTGTATTCTTTAAAGTCATCGTGCACAGCCCTCTCTCAGAAGGCTGCACAGAGCTCAGCAGAAGAGATTAATCTGTAAACAACATGGAGGGCTTGGTAAACAGCTGTCTTTAACACAGCATCTGAACAGTTCAGATGGACTTTACAAAGAGAATCTGATTTTGTAGTGACAGACATGTTACATAATGACACTTAAGTGGATTTTTGGTAGTGGCTAAAAAGTGTGTGTTTGCTTAGAAAACATATGAAGACATGGCTGCTAACAACTCATTGGCTGGTGATGATTTCTTGCTGCGAAAGGTCAAGTTCGTTGTTCTACAGTCACTGGTGATGATTTTTCTTTTCATCAACTTGTTGCTCATCATAACCTTTTTTAAAAAGGAGTATTTCTACACAACTGCTCGCTACATCTTATTTGCTGTTACTCTACTGTCAGATAGTTTCTTGTTGCTTATGTCTGATATCCTTCTCATCTTCACCCATTTTCGTATTACCATACAAGTTTGGATATGTGTCATCATCTTTCTTGTGGTACTTGTGTATGTTACAGTCACGCCAGTTACTCTGGCAGCAATGACCCTGGAGCGCTATGTGGCCATTTGCATGCCCCTGCGCCATGGAGAGCTGAGCTCTACCCGTAATACAATGAACTGTATCTTCCTCATTCATGGCATCAGCTCTGTGCCAGGCATTCTAATTTTCTCCTCCTTCTTTGTATCGGCATCTC